AGACTTTGAGATAATTCTCAGGACGAATTAAACTATTATCACAATTTTGTGTTTAGCAGGTATTTCATGCTTTTAATTCCAGTTTGTACAGGGGGGGTTAATTTTAGATTTTCTTACCCATCCCCGCTGACTCCATTCACTCTTATCTGGGTGAGTGTAGTCTTTCTGAGCTCCGAGGCTCATTAACGCAGCATTGCACTCGAGGGAATCTACTGAAACCAGCAGCACATATTGATCCCAGCCCAGAACAACTAAAATATAAATGAGGGATTTTCACTGAGGACTCCTTTGTGCGCCCACGGCCCACCATTATCTAACAGTGGCTGCAGTGTTTCTTTTCATCACTGTCAACATTGTAAATACAACAGAAATGTAGTTTTAACTTACTTATTAAGGAGAATTTAACAAGCGCTGCGAGATGAAAGTGAAAAAGATGCATTGTCTGATCAAGTGATTGATTAACCGAGTAATTGTTTTAGCTCTCTATACTTCAAAAGTGGGAAAAAACACAGCAGCAAAGGATGATGATGATGAGGATTACACAGACATAATACATTCATCCACCATCTGAAACTCCGTTCCCTGTTGAGCAAATGTGCTTTTTTTTTTCTCGTTTACAGGAACATTATACATAATTAAACAATTTTCATGGGGGAAAAAAGAAGCCCCAAACATAATTACATCACAGAGAGAGTGATTGAGTGAGAGCGAGAGAGATTTTAATTTGTATTTAGATGCTTTGGTTCATCTAACATTCATGCCAATAAAGAAGATTAGTGAAATGAAGAGACACAAAGACAGAAAGAGAGAAGGAAACATGTATAAGGGAGAGTTATTTGCTGAGAGAGAAGGAGAAAGACACAGAAATGAGCATCACATTGCTCTCATTTATCTGCCTTAGAGTAACATGTATGTGTGATTTCATATATATATATTACAAGATTTGGGCTACTTGCATGAATATTAATTCAGTGATACGTGCAAATAGGTCATAGAAACACTGCAGGTTTGTTTTGCAAAGAGATTTTACTACACTGTCTAGCTTTTTACTCTATCTTGTTTTTTGGCAGCACAGATATTTTTATCTGCCAGTGGTGCTGAAACAATTATACGTCGTGACAAGGGACAACCCTGGCAGAGCCCAACACCGAAAATGTGTTTGACTCCCTGCTGAGAATACGGACACAGCTCTCACTCCGGTTATATAATAAGGACCGGATGGCTCAACGGCCCTTGTAGTCAATGCTCATGCAGTATAACCCCCCACAAGACTCCCAGGGGAACATAAGCCTTCTCCGAGTCCACAAAACACATGTAGACTGGATGGGCAAAGTCCCACGACCCCTCTGGTGACCCTGCAAGGTTAAAGAGCTGGTCCTCTGTTCCCGACCAGGACAGAATCCACACTGCTTCTCCTGAATATGAGGTTTGACAATCAGTATGATCCTCCTATCCAGCAACCAGAAGCTTTCCCAGAGAGGCTGAGCAGCCTCCGACCTCCGTGTGACATTGAAGAGGCGTGTCAGCTACCCTCTACAATGTCCAGAGCCTTCAGCAGGGTGAATCTCATCATCCACACCTGGTGCCTTGTCCCTGAGGAGCATCTTAACTACCTCAGAGTCCTCTTCCAGGGCTATGGCTAACACTTCCCCCGAGTCTTCACACTCCACCTCCTCCACAGAGGACACGCTGCTTTGGCTCAGGAGTTCCTCAATGTGCTCTTTGAGCTGGGCTCACCCTTAGAGAAGCGGTAAATAGCTAAGATGTAAGGTCAAAAGGAAGCAGGTGAGGTGGTTCGCGCATCTACACAGGATCCTTCCAACTGGAAGGAAACTCTGAACATGCTGGAGAGATCATATATCTCATCTGGCTGAGGAGTGACTCAGGATCGCCCGAGAAGGAGCTGGAAAATGTTGCTGGGAGAGGGACGCCAGAAAATGTTTGGATGGAGGAGGGAAAGTAAAATCACAAAAAAGCAGAAAAAACAACATTGAATAGTCAAAGCTAATGTGACACTGTGTGGAAGGTAAAAACTAATGCTGATCACAGCTTCTCATACATGAAGATTTTTCTCTGTTGCTTTAAATAGGACACAACAACAGGTTATTTTTAACTGTCATCACATAAGGGAACAGTTCCAGCCATGTGGTGTCTCAGATCAACTCCTGCATATCAACTGTGAAATACTAAATCATCTTACATATTATATTAAGTAACGGCATGTACTCCATGTATTGTTGATCATAAATCCATGCAGACTGTATACATACCCTTATGTGTATCAACAGAAACGCAGTCAAAGTCAAAAATGTCTGCTGTGAAAAAGGCCCATCTGTAGTCAAATTGTTTGTGTGTTTAAACATACTTGATCAAAAAAGCTTAAAACTAACCCCCCCCAAAAACACAATATGTTTAAGCCAATTGCATGACAAAGTATGCAAGCAGGCCCTCAGACCCCCATGGGGCCTGGAGGCTCCATGTTCACCATGAGGCAATTCGTTTGTGGTCATTCAATTAACTGCAAATGTGTTTGTGAATTCTGCATGCATAAATAAAAATGAAAATACATGCACACTGTGTCTCTTACATATGTGTTTTGGTCTGCTCCACCTTCATCCGGTATTTTACATGTATAGACTAGATTCTATACCTGAGCGAGACAGTGTGCAGATTTCTGTCAACACATCTGTTACGTACTCAGGAGTGCAGAGATGTAATCTTTCCAGTTTCATTTGGTAGGCACTAAATAAAACGCACATATTGATCAGCCATAACATTACGATTTACAGGTGAATAACACTGATGATCTCATTACCATTGCACTTGTCAGTGGGTGGATGTATATTAAGCAGCAAGTTAACATTTTGTCCTCAAAGTTCATGTGTTAGAAGCAGGAAAAATGGAGAAGCATAAGGATTTGAGAACCAGAACTGGACTACGGAATAATGGAAGAAGAAGGTGGCCTTGTCTGATGAATTACGTTTTCTTTTGCATCACGTGGTTGGCTGGGTGCGAGTGCGTTGCTTACCTGGGGAACACATGGCACCAGAATGCACCATGGGAAAAAGGCAAGCTGGTGGAGGCAGTGTGATGCTTTGGGCAATGTTCTGCTGGGAAACCTTGGGTCCTGCCATTCATGTGGATGTTCCTTCTACCTAAGGACTGCTGCAGACCACGTACACCGTTTCCCCTGATCGCAGTGGCCTCTTTCAGCAGGATGATGTCACAAAGCAAAAATGGTTCAGGAACGGTTTGAGGAACACAACAACGATTTCAAGGTGTTGACTCGATGTCCAAATTCCAGAGATCTCAATCCAATCGAGCATCTGTGGGGACAAACAAGTCCGATCCATGGATGCCCCACATCGCAACTTACAGGACTTCAAGGATCTGCTGCTAACGTCTTTGTGCCAGGTACCAAAGCACACCTTCAGAGGTCCAGCGGAGTCCATGCCTCGATGCGTCAGGGCTGTTTTGGCGTCAAAAGGGTGGCCTAAACAATATTAGGCAGGTGGTCATAATGTTATGGCTGATCTGTACACCAAAGACCCCCAAATCTTGAGGCCCCACCTTGCACCTTATTAGTTCAGTTTGTCTTGTGCTTATGGTGCATCTTACCACTTACATTAGTGCTTTATCAAATTACCACACCAGTTACTAATACACACTCATTGCACAGAGAGTAGGGGCATAACAAGCTCCCCTAGTGGTTCATTGTCTCTGAACTTTTACCATTATTTTATGACATTTTCCAATCAATTATCACCATTAATCACTATTATTAGACATGATTTAGAGCCATGGTGATAGGTGGATGGTAATTTAAGCACATTATGTAGTTTTACACAACATGCACTCATTATTTTTTAGGGTTTTTTATAATGTATGTATTTTATGCTGAATTTCATGTTTTTAAATTATCGTTCAGGGACAAAATATTTAAGTTAGGGGTGCAGAAAACCCCAAATGCCAAATAATTGCAGCAAAATTTAACTCCTCATGCCATGAAGTGAGAACAACCAGCGGAAACTCAGACTGATATAGAAGAGTGGTTCTCAAAGTGGGGTCCGGGGACCCCCACAGGTCTCCAACGGGTCCCCAGCAAAAGGGGGAATCATTTATTTTAACTATAATTCCATACATAAGTGACACGTTGACAGAATCTATAACCATTTGGGTCATGGATTTCATCCACTTTCTAGAATAAAACATTTAAAAGACAAAATCCTGTCAGAGGGGGGCTCCTGGTCTAATTTGTGTAAGTTTAGGGGTCTTAGACATGAAAAAGTTTTAGAAACATTGATTTAGAAAATAAATAAATGTTGTTTATGTTATTATTATTAGTTAGTTGTTTTAATAATTGTTCCTTGGAAAAAAATTGTACAATGTACAATTTTTTTGTACATATATAAGGACTTTTAGTTTTGGCAACATTGTTTTACCTGAACATTCATGCCAATATGGCACATTGGCTTGAATTTGAATTGAGAGAGAAAGAGAGAGACTTTTAGGGTTTTAGTTCTTTTGTTTTATTTATTTAATGAACTGCATGAAATGAATTGTTCTTTTGTATTATCTTTTAAGCTTTGACAATATTATTCTTTGACATTCATGCCAATAAAGCAAAATGGAATCGAAATTTAATTGAGAGATGTTTTCACAATAATAATAATTATTATTGTTTGTAATAATTGTTGTTTTATATCATTGTATTATTTATTATTGCTTTATATATTTTTATTGTTAATATATGACTTTCTGCTTTGGCAACACCGCTGATTCTAAACAATAATGCCAATAAAGCAAATAAAGCTTATTGATTGAATTGAACTGGAGAGAGAGAGAGAGAGAGAGAGAGAGAGAGAGAGAGAGAGAGAGAGACAGGTGTGGATCAAGAGAGAGACAGAGAGAGAGAGAGAGGAGAGAGAGACCCTGAATGGAAAGGTAGAGCGACATAGAGTCAGAGTGTGGGGAGGAGAGAGAGAGAGAGTCGCCATTACTGCCTGGCAGTGAGAGGGGAGGGAGCAGAGAGGACCAGGTTTCGGCTTACAGCGCATACCACACGAACAACACCAAAATACGCTAAAATACAGGCAAAGCAACAGGAGACTACACCTTCACCCGATCACGACTTGGGGTTTCAGTCGGAGGACACCAAGGACCGCGGACTGTGGGTTGCAAAGAAAGGAGTTTCTTTTTGTAATGTGGGAAATGCTTTCTCCTCTTTTCCGTGGTATGTGGATCTGGGAGCGACCATGTTATTAGGTGGGTAGGGGAATGTGTTTGGACCGGGATTGGGGACTTCATTAGCTTAGCTGGGACTCTTTTTCTTGACCCCGGGCTTGCGCTGTCTCGGGTCTAAGGAGACCCGGGTGAGAATATGACACTGTGTTTTTAAAGTTAACCACAGGTTGTGATTTTATTTTATTTTTTAAAAACCGCTTCCTTCCCAAACGTGAAGCTCAGGGGTTGGTGATGCTAAGCTAGCTAGCCAGCCGACTCTCCCCTCTCTCTCGGCTAACAGCTAATGTTAGCTAATCGGAATTGGAAAGGTAGGTTTTCTCTCTCTCTCTCTCCTGAAGTAATCAGGGCCAAACCAGGCCGAGCCGGGCTTCACCTTATTCTTTCCCAACCCCTCCAAGAGGCTTGATAGCCGCCGTGCCAAACCCCCCCCCCCCGTGCTTGTGAATGTTAGCTACGGTGCTTTTTGACGCATTAACGTGTGTTGGTTTTAATTAAAGCTTTTATAAAGTGATTAACGTTAACTCCCGTAGCTCTCTTTACCCGGGTCTGGACCCCCCCCCCCCCCAAATCGTGGAGTTAGTTTTTCGTGATATCCACCTTTTCCAGTTAGTGGTTATTACACCGTAACACACGGGAAATCTTCCACAATGACTTTGGGAATAAAAAAGAAAATGCACCAAATCCAAGTTGAGAGCCTTCACACTGTGTTGGCTTTTATCTCTTGTTATTATTTCTTAGTTTAACCTATTTTAAGTTGCTGGGTTGCCAGTTTTCAACCTTAACGTCCTGCTAATCTGCTAGTAACATTAGCACAGGGGGGGTGGATGGATGGCTGGAGGGTCAGATCCAGGAACACCTTGAATTTTCCGACATTAATCAGGCTGTTTTTACCCCAAAACGTCTCAGCTGTGATGAGAAGTTCTGATTAACTTTTTTAACATTATTATTCTGCAGTCAGTCAGCTCCGTGGGTTTGTCCTGCTGCAGCGCTGCATGCCATTTGCGGACTGCTGCAGCTTCTTTTGCCCTTTACCCAACTCTCTTTATTAAAGGGATAGTCCGTGTCTTTTTTATCTTTTATCTACAGCCCCTTTGCAGTCCTCTCATTCAGATTGCATGAAGCATCAATTGTGTTTCAAAATACCAGCTCGCTGCTTTGTTGTCATCCTTTTTTTGAAACCTCTACATCCATACTAAGACTCTGTTCATCATTATCATCACAGTCAGTTTCTGGCGAGTCTCCCCAGCCTTTTCTCTTGAACGGGAAGCAAAGCTATTGATCTGCTTAATAATACTGAGCATTAACAGCCGTCCTGCTGGCAATCTTCTGATTTCCTATCGGGGTAGTGTGTTAAAAGAAATGTTTCACGTGTATTTTGTGGTCCATTTGACAAGCACAGATAGCCTTGCCGGTTTTAGCACTATCAGAATTGACAGAAAAGGATAGGCACGTCTGCAAAGCTTTAAGACCATTACTTTAATGCATATTGGTATTGGCATATGCTAATATAGTGGGATGTGTTCGATATTCCTATCAGTTTCAACAACATAAGGGCATTGGTCCCGACAAGTCCTGTTTTGAGTAATGACACAGTTGATCGTATCAGTTGGCCTATAAACTGCTGTTGTTACATCATCGACACCTTCGGGAAGGGAAAGTCAGATGAGTGAGGCTTGGCTTCAGGTCTGGACTTGACTGTAGAGGATGGTGACAGTATTGATTGTTTTTGAATGAGCTTTGTGCTTGAATACATGTGAAATTCTTCTCCTAGAAGCACCAGAGCGTTGCCTTTCACATAGCTTTTGATTAAATCAAAGCTATTATTTTAACAGGCAAAGATGTTTTTTATTATTATTGAGCAATGGCAGTGATCTATCAAATTATCCACAGCCCACTTAAAAAGATGGCTTCACCTCTTGTCTTAACCTGGACTATTTTATACATATTGAGACTAACATTTCAGAAAGTCATTTCTGTGTTATGTTCTGTATTACAGCTGTAGTTCCTTGAATCATGATGAGTTGGCTGAAATTTAAAACCGCGTTACGCAACTTTGTGCGCCAGCAGCTGAAAAATTCTGTTAACAGGTAATGGTTTAAAAATTTGAATGTCAGTACCCAGGAACCTGCGAGGCTGTGTCTGTCATGATTTAAATGAAAAGGAGAGAGGGAAAGTTGTTTAGTGAGAGCTTTCTTTTTGGTTAAAAAGGAGGCAGTTTTGATTTTTTCTCTGAAGTTTTGATTCATCTCTTCCTGTGGGAGGAGTGTTGTCTGTACCCGAGATCAGATTTTCTTCTGGGGAATCATAACGAGTCAGTGGCGCCTCATTTAAAATAGATGGGCCGCTCCTCTCTGTTGGACCCCTGCTTTGTGATTTAGGCATTTTTAGGCAGATTTTAACCTAAAAATCCAGCCGGATGCAGCTTCAAAAGGTCTACCATCCTTGGCAGTGTGTTCTGCTCTGTTTCAGGGCTTAACAACATTTAGTCATCTCTAAAACCAGCTTGCCAAGTGATACCTTAATCCCCCCTGCAGCCTCACAGTGAATAGACTAATCGTGATGCACAAGGCTACTTTTAGCTGTTAGTGCGGCACACATACAGTTTGTGCTGTAGCGTTTGGCCGTTTGGCTCCATCCAGGTGTTTACAGTAAACAGCTAACTGGCTAGCACTGCTACCATTCCTCTTGTCATAAATGCATGTTAACATTTATTCTCGAGTCTTGTGTATCGAGCCTCTGTGTTGACAGCAGAGTGAATGTAGACTTGGCTGATGAAGATGCAAAACAGATGTTTGGATTTGGGTGACTGATCTTCTGAAACACTGTGGTTTGGATGGGAATCGCAGGAGGTATGTAGGCCCGGGTCTGTAATAATCATCAATAATTAATAGATTTCAGTTGTTGCGATTTATGGTTTTTACTCTATTTCCAAGTAAAGATTCCACTTTTTTAGTAGTTGCAGTGTCACCAGCGAGAAGAGCTCATGTTTAGTGTCTGTTTTAGCTGGTGGGTGGACTAAATAACAATTTAAAAAACATCACTTGGACTTTACTAATCTGTGATGGGCATTTTTGCCATTTTAAAGTCAACAATGAATTAATAAATCAATAATAACATGATTATCATATTGTCAGTCATCAGTCAGTAATAGACGTTGGAACTACAAATGGAAATGTAGTTTTTGCCCTAGTTGAATACTGCTTGCAAGCATTAGGTCCACAGTGCACTGGTGCAGTGCTTCACCTGTTCAAAAGCTCAGATACACTTGCTGCTTCCTACAGTCAGGTGTGGCACATGTAGCAGCAAATAGGTTATTGTAGGGGCCACAGGTTAGAATTGCAAACCTGACAGACCTGCTGGTCGGTTTGCTGTCTGACATCATTTCATGTCCTGGGTGTGTTGGAGGGAAGAGGAGCTCCTTGTTGGAGGAACCTAAATTATAAAGGAGGTGACTAAACCTTTAAGGCACCTTACCTGTAGGTAATTGAGCAACCTTCCCCTAGTTTACTCTTAGATTATGCACAAGTTTATCTGTGGTCTTACAAATAAGAAAATGGTTTCTGTGATCTCTTTTTTATATATATATGTTAGATAATTGAATTCAGTGTGTAACATCCATTTATCCTTCTTGTTTCGGAGTTCTGAATACATTTCCATGTGTTGTTTCTTAAGGTTGCTGTAGATCTGCTGAACTCAGAAAAGTCAGTTTCCTTGAACAAAGCCCCTGCACAGGTGACATCATCACCTTGGTATCTATAAACAGTCAGGGGAAACCTCATTGCTTCGTCTCAGTGGACCAAATTCCTACTCTGCTGCAGTTTCTCAGGCTCAGCATGCCGTCGTGCTGCAGCGAGCAGTTCCAACTCATGCAGGCAAATTCACTGGCTGATTGCCATCGTTCTGTAAAACACAACAATGACTGACTTCTCTCAGCAGTTGTCAGTTATCAGCCGCTAGTTAGGTCATGGAAGACTTTAAGCTTATTTGACTGTGGAAATTCCAGATAATACTGACAGAAAGGTGGCGGTCTGATTCGTTTGTCACATTTTTACTTTCTACAATCTGTAATTGATCATTATTGGTTTTGTGAGTAGTAAAACATTTCCTTTGACCTGGTTATTAATGTTGAATAGACCGCGTGCAAGCACCTTTCGTCTCACAAATAACTGAGATTGCTAATTAGGCTGGGAAAACTGAGTGAGGTTTTTTTATAGCCCCAAAAATAAAACCAAAACAAACTGGACTTCAGAATCAAGACTGGACACAATGTGGGCATTCAGTGGTAGATCACGTTCACATCGTTTGGTCCTGCTTCATCTTACAGTCCTTCTGGGCTGATGTTCAGGCTGCCACTGAGAGTATGTTAGGATTTGATGTTGAGTTTTGTCTCTCTCTACTTAGGAAACATGTCTAAGGAGCTGGATATCAGAGACAAATAGTCATTAAAAATCCCCATGGTAGCAAGCAAGATGGCAATTACAAGACGCTGGCTTTTTAAAGAGCCTCCCACCCTGAACCAGTATATAGATATTGTAAACAGCATACAGTATGGAATGTATGACATTCAGTTTAAGATTACAGAAAGAAGAGTATTGGGCTAAATGAGATATATATATATATATATATATATATATATATATATATATGAATAAAGTATATATTAAAAAAAAAGACTACCAATTAGGATTAATAATCATGTCAGGCAAAATAATCAGGATTATACGTTTAGCCTTAATCATGTAGCCTTAGGGCGTGCTGATGGTGATAGCGAATCTGTGAACTGATTTATTTTCTGTTTCATTTTCACAGCGAAGCAAATCATTTCTAGGTCAGTGGCTGTCAAAGGGCTGGAGTTGCATGCCATTTTTATCCTGCCTTGGCACAAAATTGGTTGAAAGCACTTATTTTTTCACTGTGAGGGGAGAAGTGACATTGTCGAGCATGGTCCATGATTGAATTACTAGTCTTTTCTCTTATTCAAGTTGCACTGTCACACTTTAGTTTTTGTCTTCTTAAAAGTCCATTTTGATATTGCAGTTTTTAAAACACATTTTCTCTTGTTTTTTTTAGAGAAATCCATGAGGCTTTTTCTATACAATTTTATATTATAAACCTATTATTGTTGTGTTTTCAGACCAGCGCGTTTTATAACTAACACGAAAGGCCTTTCAGTCACCTTTTTATTAAGCTTTTTCCACTTAGGAGGGATTATTTTGTCCTGTACAAGTGTGATAATGTGTACCTTTTGTCTAATTTACTGATAACTGTGTAATGCCACATTAACATGTCTGATTTGTTTTGAATCACCACACCGTGCACCATCAACATTTGTGTCCCAGAGGGAGAGCCACAGAAACAAAAAGCTAATTATATTATTTGTGATAAGGAGACTCGAGTGCTCTGAGGACAACTCAGACTGCAAATATGTTTTTGTTTTTTCTTGATCTTTTCCTAATTGTAAATTCTATGTTTTGCAGGCAGGTGATAAAAGGAGGAGCCGGCTGTTCTATCCCAGCTTAGAGAAGACCCAGGATAGAAACTGGGAGAGATACATAGAGTTGGAGGGGGATTCACCACTACCAAGGGAAATCAGGATGAATGTGTCTCTGTACCATTGACAAGCTGAACTGGAATGATATCTTGACCTTTTTTCCTGGAAGTGACCAAGTTAGCGATGAGCGGGGGGATATAATGGCCAAGAACAAGGATGCGCGCCCCCCGACATTCGCCGTCAGCGTGGTTGGCCTCTCGGGGACGGAGAAGGAGAAGGGAAATTGTGGTGTGGGCAAGTCCTGCCTATGCAACCGGTATGTGCATCCTGATGCGGACAGTTACTACTCAGAGCACACCTCAGTGCTGAGCACAATAGACTTTGGGGGGCGTGTGGTTAACAATGACCACTTCCTGTACTGGGGGGAGGTGTCCCATCGAGGGGATGATGGGTTGGACTGCAAAATCCAAGTCATCGAGCAAACAGAGTTCATTGATGACCAGACGTTTCTTCCGCATCGGAGTACAAACCTGCAGCCGTACACCAAACGCGCAGCACAAACCAAGCTCCAGTCGGCGGAGAAGCTTATGTACATCTGCACGGACCAGCTGGGCTTAGAGCAGGACTTTGACCAGAAGCAGATGCCTGATGGGAAGCTGAACATCGATGGCTTTGTGCTCTGCATCGATGTTAGCAAGGGTTGCAATAGGAGGTTCGATGACCAAATGAAGTTTGTCAACAGCCTCTACGCCCAGATTGTCAAGTCAAAGAAGCCTATTGTCGTCGCTGCCACAAAATGTGATGAGTGTGTGGACCAGCACCTGAGGGACCTGCAGGCTTTTGTTGCCAACAAGAAGAACCTGCTGCTAATTGAGACGTCAGGACGCTGTAACGTCAATATAGAGCTCTGCTTCAACGCCCTCATCCAGCAGCTGGATAAAACAAGGGGAAAGCCAAAAACTGTGCCATACCTGGAGGCCTATAAAGTCCAACGGCAGCTTGTTGCCTCAGTGACAGATAGATATGAGAAACTGATGGTGCACACGGTGAGAGATTATCACACCACATGGAAAACAGTGGTTAATAATCTCAAGGGCCAACATGACTATGACGAGTTCATCACCTTGGAGGGCACCAAGAAAGCACGCAACATGTTCACAAAGCACATTGCACAACTGAAGCACGAGCACATCAAGAGGAGGAGGGAAGAGTACCTGACAACACTACCGAAAACCCTTAACAACCTCCTCAATAACCTGGAGGAGGTGGAACACCTCCCATGGCCTGAGGCGCAGAGTGTGATCCGGAACCGACCTGATTTCCAGTACTGGTTTGTGGTTCTGGAACATACGCCATGGGATGAGACGGATCACATTGACGTGAGTGACCGCAGGATACCCTTTGACCTCCTCAATACTCCCGATGGTGAGAGAATTTACCATAACCACGTCCAGCACCTGATGTCTGAGAAGAGAAGGGTGGAGATGAAAGATAGGTTCAAGAAGACACTGGAGAGGGTTCATTTTATCAGCGCAGGGCAGCCTTGGGAGGAGGTCATGTGCTTTGTCATGGAGGACGAGGCCTACAAGTACATCACAGAATCAGATAGGAGGGATGTTTACTGTAGACACCAGCAGGAAATAGTTGAAAGGGCCAAAGAGGATTTTCAGGAAATGCTTTTTGAGCATGCTGAGCTATTCTATGACTTAGATCTGAATGCCACCCCCAGCTGCGACAAGATGAGCGAAATTCACAGTGTGCTAAATGAGGAGCCCAGATACAGAGCGCTGCAGAAACTTGCCCCAGATAGAGAGTCACTCCTCCTCAAACACATTGGGTTTGTTTACCATCCCACTAAGGAGACATGCCTGAGCGGGCAGAACTGTGTGGATCTGAAAGTGGAGCAGGTTTTAGCGAACAGGCTTGTGCAGCTCGACCACGGACCCTCTAATCTCTACTATAACAGTGCCAACATCGATAAGATCAACCTCTGCCTCCTAGGAAGGGAGGGTCTCTCACAGGAACTAGCCAATGAGATCCGAGCTCAGTCCACAGATGATGAGTACACCCTTGACGGTAAAATTTATGAACTGGAGCTCCTTGCTGTTGATGTCAACTCCACACTGCTCTTCAGCCATGCGTGGGTTAACACATTCAAGCCACATGGCTGCTTTTGTGTGTTCAACTCCATAGAGTCCCTCAACTGTATTGGAGATTGCATAGGCAGGATCAGAGCGGAGATAGCACAGAGTAGGAGAGATAGGTTTGCTAAGCCACTACCATTTATTCTCATCCTGGCAAATCAGAGGGATAGTGTTTGCAAAAACATACCTATCCTGAGGCACCAGGGCCAACAACTGGCAAACAAATTGCAGTGCACCTTTGTTGACATCCCTTCTGGGGCCTTTCCACGTAAATTCACCGAGTTCCAAATTAAGCAGGGTCTCCGAGCGGTGCTTGATGGCCTGAAGCATAACTTTGATGTCTTGGCCCCGCTGCCCTCCATCAAAGACATGTCAGAGACGGACCTTAGGATAGTCATGTGCGCCATGTGCTGGGATCCTTTCAGCGTTGACCTCATCCTCTCGCCTTTCTTAGACTCACATTGCTGTAGCGCGGGGCAGCCAGGCCAGAGCAACACACTGATACTGAACAAGATCATCGGGGACAGCAGGAGGAGGATCCAGGTCACTGTTCTCTCCTATCACACTGCTATCGGTGTCCGCAAAGATGAACTGGTGCACGGCTACATATTGGTCTACTCTGCCAAACGGAAGGCTTCCATGGCGACCCTGCGGGCGTTCTTGGCCGAAGTCCAGGACGTGATCCCCGTCCAGATGGTGGCGATCACAGACAGCCAGGCAGACTTCTTTGAGAATGATGCCATTAAGGAGTTGATGACGGAGGGGGAGCACATTGCCACAGAGATAGCTGCCAAGTTTACAGCACTTTACTCACTGTCACAGTATCACCGGCAGACAGAGGTTTTTACACCCTTCTTCAATGAAGTGTTGGAGAAAAAGCTGAGCATCGAGAGCTCCTTCCTGTTTGACTCCTCATCACGAGAGTGCACCACTGGTGCTAGCGAAGACGTCTTCCCCACCTCGCCCCATAGCCATTCCCCGGCCTACAACACCTATTACCCAGAATCTGATGATGATAATGAGGCCCCCCCACCTTATAGTCCAATAGGTGATGACGTTCAGCTTCTCCCCACACCGAGTGAGCGGGCCAAGTACCGGATTGACCTAGAAGGCAATGAGTACCCAGTCCACAGCACTCCTGTTGGAGAACATGAACGCAACCACAAAGTGCCACCACCTGTCCGGCCCAAACCAGTGCTGCCCAAACCTAATGTCAAAAAGCTGGACCCCAACCTGCTCAAAACCATAGAGGCTGGCATGCGGAGCAACCGTAGGATGCCACGTGGCCCAATGGTACACACCGATGATCTGGAGGCGTCAGACAACTATGCAGACCCCGTGGACACCTTGCAAAGGTCCAGGGGCTTTCACAACGACGACATATATGCTGTGCCTGATGACACACACAGCCGCCTGGTCAAAATAAGAAACTCCTTTGGTGTGTTACATGGCCTTCAAGTAGGAGAGGAAGAGAATGGATTTGACAGGAAGTGTCAGGCTGGACGGCGGCCGTCAAAATACAAACATCGTTCTAAAATCTTGTTCAGCAAGACAAAGGCCTACCAAAGACGATTCCACTCTGACAGCGACGGGGAGGAGTCTGGCCCTGCCACTCAGAAAAAGAAAAAGGGAAGAGCCCACCGGGGCAGCGAGGAGGACCCACTGCTGTCCCCTGCCGACCCCTGGAAGGGTGGGATAGACAACCCCGCCATCACCTCTGACCCTGAGCAGGAGGACAAGAAGATGAAGAAGAAGAAGACGCCCAAGACTCCAAAGGAATCAAAAAAGGTGGGTCTTGCCTGTCATGAATCTGACTTTTGCAGAGTTTTAATGGCTTGTCAGTTATATCAGCTGTGTTTGAAAGTGCTTTATAGTGCAACAAAAGACAGAAAGAAGCAAGACGGCAAAGATATTGTAGTCCTCAAAACTGAGAGAACGAGTGTGCATGTGAATAAGAGCAGAAGAGATTGTGTATAGCAATGACTGAGCAGAAGTGTGTGGGTGTGAGATATGAGCAGATTTCTGTTTTTAATAGCCCCGGGACTCATGGTGAGAATAAACTAATTTGATAATTGATTGATCTGCCCCGCTGCTGAAGTGGTTTATGAGCCCCCCCACCTTACAGGCCCCCAGACGATCAATAAAAAGCTTGATAAAAGGCGCACTGTTAAAGACAGTAGGGCTCTGTCTGCATAATCTCAAAGCAGAGGCTGCACCTGTGATAAGATGCCTGTTTATCCTTTACAACTGCTCTCTGAAGGCGTGTCTGAGACTGCTGAGCACAAATACATGAGCAGGTCCATATGATCCAGCCACCATCATCTAAAATGCCAAGACAAATACTGTACAACACATGGAGCAATTAAACTAGCACTCTTCTGTAGACAAGCGCACATGTACAAATGAAAGAAAAAAAGACGTTAGCAAGAAAAGCTGTATTTAAAATTCAGTTAAAAGCACACATCGGCACACAGTGCATATACCCCCCCACACATGAGCATGCTCAATATATTTCAACATATTACAGGTACATTCGCAATAAGAGATAAAAGACTGACCTCTAAATTGGCAATATGAACCGCCTCCCTTATTGAAGGCAGTGCTAGGTGCTATTGGATCCTCAGCCAGTTTCGATAAATTAAATTGATTAACAAAAACAAATATCTGATTTTATGATATTATACACTTTATTGTCCCCGTAGGGAAATTTACCTTGGACTCAGATGCTGACTCAAAATGTTTGTCGTCTTGAAAAACTATTTAGCAATTGTGCACAGTCACACGCAGGCATGCAAGCGAGTGAGCATGCTGCTGCGAATCAGATAATAGTGTGCAAATCGGTATAGAAACAGCCGCCGGCGGTACGTGGCTGCATGAATGCAGGGCATTGTTGGAACATTCAAACTGTCTTTGATAATCAGAGAAGAGAGCGAAAGGAGAACCACAAGGTACAAAGTGGAAGGTGTTTAGTTGCCGTCCTGGCCAATTAGAGAGGAGCCCGAACCGCTGTTGGCATGACAACACTTTGAAGAGCAGAGGAGTGTGGGAAATCAAAGCCACCTCGGTACCTCGTTACTCGTCCCAGCTTCGGTCTTGAATAACGGTTTTGTCTGTTGTCTTCTTTCTTCTCGTCTTCCTCCACATGGACCTCCCTCTGCTTTCTCCCTTCATCCTACTAACTTCTTTTCTGATCTATTTCCCCATTGCCCTCCTCCTCCTCCTCCTCCTCTTCGTGTCTGATATGTTCTGCCTTCTCATTACCCTCTCTCCTCCATTTCTGCTCTCCCTCGTGTCTTCTTCTTAATTCCCTCTTCTTTCATTCCTTTCCCCTTCTTGTTCATCCTTTTCTTTTTAAAACTTAATTTTTTCTTTTCCCTTTCATACTTTTTTATCACCCCAATCTACTTGTCTCTCCTTCATCATCCCATTTGGCTTATTTCCTCTTTTCCTATCCCTCAATTTCCTCTTTGAACTTCCTATTTTTCCCCTTTCCTTTTCTTTGTATACTCCTCCCTGTCTGATCTTCTCATCTCCTTTCTAATCTCTTCTCCTTTCCGTCCCCCTTTCTCCTCCTGTCCTCCCTCCTTTGTCACCCTCTTGTCTCTTCCCTCCTACCTTCCTTTATTATTTCCTTTACCAATCTAATTCCCTCCATCCTTCCTGCTCTTTCAACCTCTCTCCCCTCCCCTCTACACCTCATCTCACCCCTCTTCCTATTCTCTCATCCCGCCTTTATAGCAAAAATCTTCCAAGCCCCCGAAGCCTCTGTACCCACCTACCCGAAGAACCTGGGAGAGCAACTACTTTGGCGTTCCCCTGCAGAACCTGGTGACCCTGGATCGACCCATCCCGCTCTTCATTGAGAAATGCGTCGACTACATCGAGCACACAGGTGAGTCGTGTGTTTTCGTCTTTTATTTCCCACTCGCTTCCTTTATTTTTGTTCCTTTCATCTTTCTATCTGTCTTCTGGCTGTGTGTTGAGGTACAACCAAGCTCTCTCTGGTATTTTGAAACTCTTGCAAGGTACAGCCGGTTTTGTTGTTACATGCAAAAGCTTTGTGGTTATTTGCTGTGAAAGTGCCTCTCATGTCTTTCCAAATGAGTAACTGAATGAGAGAAGGAGGAGGACATGAATTTAAATTCTAAAGAAGATTCACTTCTCGGCTCTGATGTCACCCATCAAACATGTTTTGTCTAGTCTGTCAGCCTGGCTGCCATTCAGTCCAAGTCCATTTCAATTCAGTGAGCTTTATTGTACCCGGCATTTGATGTGTTGCCAAAGCACTACCGAAATGATTACCAACTAAGATGGTAAAAGATTAGAGATCCAAAATCTGATGGCAGTAGAGAGATTTAAACTGGTACATCCATTAATCAACTGTACACAAGAAATGAGATAAGAAAATGAGATGGTACATGTAAAAACATGTAAGAAAAATGTATGAGTGAGGTTATTGGACCTTTGTTGAAGCGGAAAGTACAGCTGAAATAATTATGACCAAACCCTTTTTCCAGCTTCTGAAATGTGTCATTGTGAACTAAATATCTCTTGGGTTTTGGACTGTTAATAAAACAAAACACACAATTTGAACGTGTCACTTCGGGCTCCGCGAAATTTTGATTGGTGTTTGGCCCATATATCAATAATAAGACTCGTTAAGAGCCACCATGGCTGAATGTAACATTATGAGCTGTCAGTAATACTATCACTCTCTCCGATCAGCCAGCCTCAAGGTCAAATGTTGTTGGTTCAAATCCCCAGACCACCTGGGGAAAAGGTGTTCAACACGAGCATCAAGCGCTCTTGAGGTTGCTTGAAAGTTATGTTAATAATGGGTTTGGAAATGTGAATGAGAAAACCTTTTCTACTCGTGTGCGTCGAAACTACTCCTGTGATGCCCTTGAGCAAACCCATCAACTCAGTTACAACTGCAGAAGTCAGTGGTTGCATCAGAAGAGCAGACACACGCTCAGAGGACTTTCTCTGGAAAGGTTTAAAATAAGACATGTGGCCTGTTTGGACATGTCTAGCTCCCGCTGCATCATGCAGGCACCCAGTGCATGCTGGGTATGTGTCTGGCCTCTATCCCAGCTGTTGTAAAGTGGGCCTTCCCCCAAAGTTTGAGAGATTCCTCAATGAAGTCATGGCTCAGTCTGATAGATATTTATACACCATGTGGGGGACACGTTATCCAAAGTGCCTCTGAGTGTTTTAAGAGGATTTATTTTCTTTACGGATGACTGTAGTGAGATTCAAACCCACAACTCAGACACTTTTGAGTGCCTTGCTCCACACATTTAGCCACATGCAGCTACCCAAACTGTAAATTTTTTCCTTCTGACCACCAAAATGAATATTTTAAACATATTTAATATTTTACGAGCTTGTTGCATAATGTATTTACTCACTTTCCTGCACTCTTTTCCATGTTTAGTGCCTTTCAATAAGCTCTAAGAAGCAAAAGTGTCTCTTGTAGAAAAGAACTCAAAGTAACTTTTCCCCACGTCAAATTCTATTAAATATCTGGTGACGTAATGTTTCCTGTCGAGTCTTTGCTGGAGCGCGTTTGTGTGTTCAAGGGGAGCGGGTAGTTTGGGATTTTAGGATCAGTTCTAGTGTTTGTGAAAGTTAGAGAATGGCTCTATATATATATATATATATATAATTACATCTTGTTTTGTAATCACTGTTGCTAAATGAATGTAGGAACCCTCTCAGCTGTCTTACCACTTTTTTATTCCCTTCTCTCCTACTCCCTCCTCCAACTTAAGCCATATGTGCAGCAAATGTATAGTATGCACATTAAACTGAGGTATTTCCTGTGTTCCTACCAGTGTTCACACGGTGAGTAAGTGTTCGGTTCTGTTTTGAAGGTTTGCGCCTGAGCTCTTTTCGTTCTGCGGTTGTTAATTCCTGTCCTGAGAATCCCTTCCGAATATGTTTTGATATTCAGCTGGATCTACATGAGCTCGCTGGTGGCTGCCAACCAAATTTAGGATTAATCCCAGCACTGTGTGTGTGCGCGGACGCCTGCCAGCTGACTGCAGTGTATTGGAGATTTCATGGCTAGTGCAGTGAAACCCTCTTAGTCCAGACGGTCTGTTGGGTGGATTTAACAGCTTTTCGCCTCCCCTCTTTTTCTGGAATATAATTTCTCAGCAGATGCAGTGAGAACATCTTTGTGCTTTTTTTTTCTTTTTTTAAGCCTGCTGTTGTATTAGGCGTTTCACACCGAGACAGTATAATAGCTTTTACACTGTCTCAGGGAGCCTCGGTAGGGGTTGACGTAGACTTCATATACATCCAGGTTGCCTTGGTAGGGTAGGTTTAATCTTACTGTGTTCTAGCTCAGAGGGTGGGTTCGTTCTGTGAACTCTGAGAGTTGTGAGTGAGTTGCTGTCATAGCTCAGTGGTTAGAAAGACTGAAAAAAACTGTCTCTGTCTGCAGAGATCCACCCTACTAATGTTTGCTAAAATAAGATACTCAATCTCTGCCAACTGCAGAGCTGCTGCTGTATCTGACCTCTGACCTCTGACCTCTGAGCCGGGTGGGAGGAAAGAGACTGTCCCTGTTGGGATCATTAAAACATTCACTATTATATTGTGTTTATATATTGTTGTTTTTCCACCAGACAGCAGACACTTGTCACATTAATTGGAGGTGAAAGTCAAAATGTTGAAGCGCTCCTCTCCTGCTTTATGTTGGCTTATTGATTTGTTTTTATGTTTCTGGTTTCTGCCACCTACAGAAACTCAAACTTAATCCGTTTAAGGAAAAAGATAATACCAGACATTTCTCAAAGTATGGTCTAGCTGAAAACTGGGCTGGCTATCTAACCCCAAGACTTTCAGTTCTGACGGAAATATGTCTGTAGCACAGAGGATCAGAAACTGTCAAATACCCTAAGCTGGTGTTGAATGTCTCGTCAGAATGGCTTCAAAACTAATGGTTGGACAAAGCTAGCAATTTGTCACCTCGCGGTCTTGGCGCTTGGGATGGTCATTATTTGCCCAGTTCTTTTCCAGTTTATTTTATAGTAGGGATGGCCCGAACATGTCTTTTGCCACCAAATCCTGATCCAAGTTATTTAATATTGAGTATCTGCAGGTACCAAATACCGATCCGATACCAGCATCACATCTAAGAAAGACCTTGTAGGGCAGTGTCTGAAATGTGGCGTCGAGATGGTTGAGCGGCTCCAAAAGAAGGCGAAAACCTGTAATCTTTACTACAGAGATGGGCTGGTCGTCCAACGCGACAAATTCAGTTACCCTCTCTGTAATCTTTTTGGCCATCTCGCTGTCTTGAGGAAATCTTTCTTTTTCATCCAGGTTCATCCAGGTCATAGTTATACAAGGAAAGTTATAATCAAGGGCAACTGGACTTTTGAAGATACTAGAAGATGTTTTGTCCCTCATCCAAAGGACTCATCCTGAGTAGAGAAACTCAGCTATTTAACCTCTGTGGAGTCTTTTGCTTAGATCATCGATGGTTCGTTAGTGCTCCTGGCTGTAACGACAGTCCTTGGTCGGTAGAGCCACACGAGGCAAAGTCTGAACGACCATCATTTGCATCGTCACCTGCGGCCAAAAGTGAATGTTTGTTTAGTTTCCCGGGAAGTGATGAAAACAAACGTTCACTATTCTTCAGTATAATTTTTTTGGCATTTTTGCATAAACGACAATTTAATCTGTAATTAAAAGTGTTTCAGATTAATCTTTTGTTGTTAAGACTAATGGATTAATCAATGAATTGTTAAACCTCTGCAAAAAAAATATTCAAATTATGAATCTAGAATTAAAATATGTACCTTTAGTCGCAGCCCGACTCAGTCTGTGTAATGTTTTTTTGTGGCTGTAGCGTAGAGCGGTAATCTCCGGAGGCCAGACTGCTGGTTGGTTTAGTTTAACCACATGTAATGAGCTGCCGGTCGAGAGGCAGAGAGGTGACGATAGCTGTTTGTGGTGCCTTTGGTGTCAGACCTGAAAGTGTGAGAGGGAAAACTGTGACTTAACGTGTGTGTGAGACGGAGCGTGGCTGTAAATGTGACAGAAAGTGTGAAGCTGTGGTTCTGTGTGTGACCTTTATTTGGGTGGGTTTGTGTAAGTGATAAGACTGTGTCATGTGGTTTGGACGTCAGCTCGCTCCAATAGATTAACGCAGATCTTATACTTTTTTCGGGGTATTTTTCAGGTGAAAACTCCACATGACATTTTCCAGGAATCGGCTAATTAAGTGTACGTCTGTGTCAAAAGTGTGCAGCGACAACGAGCTATTGAAGACACTCTGAAATAAAATGCCGCCATTAAATAAGGATGGTGTTTGTTCTCCGCTCGCTGCCTCTCTGAAGATGATAACAAGCAGATCTCTTCTAACGGCAAACAGTGTGTTCCAGTCACCACATCCTAATTATAATTGAAATAACAGGCTTCCCAAGGGCCTTGCAAACCCTTAAAGGTTTGTAGATATTAGGACAAATGAACCAAAGCCTTCAAGGATTCTGGGAAAACAATATGAGGCCTTGAAAACACCTTTTTAAATTAGAACCGAGCATCCGAATTTATCAGCATGCCTCAGCTGTGTGTCTGAGTGCGCACTTGAAATCTGCATTAAAACCTTGGGATGTTTTTTATTGGCTTGACACAACGCATTTAATCAAAAACATCCATAATGTCTTTATTGTCTTATGTCAGAAAATGATTAAAAATACGTCTACTCTGATTTTTATTTAGAAAGACATTGTCCTTGAAGTTTTTCTTCCAAGGTGATTCCAACATGGAGAAAACTCTTCCGCAGTTGTCTGATGAAATCAAGACTCCTCATTACATTAGAGAGTGGTCATGTGAATCACATCACGCTGTGGATTGTTAAGTATTTCTAGCTGTTTC